TCCTAGCGCCCCCTTCTCGGCCGCGCCCGCGCGGCCCCCGCCCCGGCAGCTCCAAACCGGGGGGGGAAAAAAAGCCTCTTTCGGGGTGGTTTTTTTTTGGTTTTTAGAGCGTTTTGTCGCATTTTTTTTAATGCTATCCCTTTGTAACGAGGGCTGCCGGGCAGCGGGCATGGCCGCTGTCTGCCGGGCTGGGCAGGGTCTGGGCTTCAGCGGCACCAATTCAATAAAACGTTAAATGAGCTCGAATTGTGCTCCTGAGATCCTGTGGGAGCAGCGGGGCTGCTGGGGTCCTGTGGTGTGCTGGGTTTTAATCCGGAGATCTGTATCTGCCGTGTGAAACATCCACGGCCCTGTAAAGCCACTGAATTGAGGGTAAAAGAGGAGTCTTTGTCTGCACATCTTGAGTGTGGTGGCGTAAAACCGGGACTGAGAATTCCCAGCTCTCCAGCTGGACGTTCAGATCCTGCAGCACCAATAATGATGAACATCTCTGCACTGTACATCAGCCTCAGCCCCCCCAGACTGACTGGAATTACTGCCTGCCCTAACCTCCCTGCCTGTCTTTTGTTCAGCAGCTCTAATTGTGCTTGACAATTTGTATTAGGAGTTAGAAGAAATAAAACTCATGTACTCACTGTTCAGAGGCTCTCTTTGTTATCTAGGGATCCAGTTGATTGAAGCTCTCCCAGGGTTGGCTTCTGGAGCCACACTTTCTTGGTCATGGCTACTTCTGGTATGTAGTATTATTTCTGAAATACTTGTTGTTTTCTTCCCTCTTCTCAGAAATATTTTTAAGTCTAGTGCAGGAAAGCAAACTGCCCCCACCATGCTTCCCTCCCACGTCTGGGCTGCTTTGGAGAAGCTGTTAAAACAGGGGGCTTGAGGAAACAGATCAAAAGCCCTCACAGATGAGGCTGTTAGCAGATGGGCTTCAGCTCATCTGCATGCCATCTGCTCTGCTAACAGAGCTGACTGTCATCTAGACATCTTGGTGATCAAAACTGGTGCCAGTGACACCGTGCAGGGCTGACGTGCCTGCTCAGAGGTGTTTGAAGAGAGAAAGCACTGGCTTGTGTATCTCTTTGAAAACTGTTTTCAGTTCTTGGCTGTGTCAGGTCTTAGGTGACTGCCTTGAACTCTTCCTCAGACTTGTCATAGGAGAGAATGTGTTTCTATTTATTTGTTCTATCCTTCAAAGTACTGATAAACTTGTTCTCACAAGCCTGGGTTTTAAAAGCCAAAATGAAACGTCGGGCACTTGGTTGGTGTAACATGGAGGAAGAATTGCACACAAAATCACCTGCCATGTCTCAGAACCCTGTTGCTGCTGCTGCTTCAAGTTGTCTGCTCAGATCTCAACTGTCATTTCAAGTGACCTTCGTGGCAGTGAACAATAGGGCTATTGTTTAAGTTGCCAAATAATAAAATAGAATCTCAGATTGGTTTGGGTTGGAAAGGACATTGAAGATCATCCAGTCCCAACCCCCTGCATGGGCAGGGACACCTCCCACCAGCCCAGGCTGCTCCAAGCCCCATCCAACCTGCCCTTCAACACTGCCAGGGATGGGGCAGCCACAGCTTCCCTGGGCAACCTGGGCCAGGCTCTCACCACCCTCACACCCAAGGATTTCTTCCTCATGTCTAATATAAGCCAGTTCCTGGCTTAGAATACTATATATTTGGGGTTTTTTTCCCATGTTGCTAGATATCCAAGTGAAGGAGCTGGAGAAACGTGCCTCTGGGCAGGCCTTTGAGCTGATACTCAGTCCCCGCTCAAAAGAAGCAGTCCCAGAATTCCCTCTTTCTCCCCCAAAGAAGAAGGATGTGTCATTGGAAGAGATTCAGAAGAAGTTGGAAGCAGCAGAAGAGAGACGTAAGGTAAATTTGGAGCAGTTTCAGTCAGCTCTGCTCAACTGCTCCGTGCAAGTTGTGCAGTTCTTTTAATTTCCTTGTTGCTTGGGATGAGTGATGAGCAGTTGAGAATGGTAAATGGAACATTGATTGAATGTTGGTGGCTCTTGGGAACCTTTACCTTGTTGCTTGGGATGAGTGATGAGCAGTTGGGAATGGTAAATGGAACATTGAATGTTGGTGGCTCTTGGGAACCTTTCTTGTGGTCTGCACAGCTGTAGCTTTGTTCCCAAAGTGATCTCAAAATGGTTGCTTGAAAAACTGGGGGAAAATGTTGAGAGGGGATGATGCTCTTTCAGGAAGAAGCTGTTTTTCTTGTCTTGAACATGATAACCAGATGAATGTTTTCCTAGAAAACAGTGGTGAATCTGCAATGAGATTTCCCAATCCAATGTCTGACTTGATGTAAGATCTTGCTGTTGAGATGTAGCTGGCAGCCTTTGGCTGTGCAGGAGCTTAAATAATTGAGGTGCATCATCCTGTGTGACCTGAATCACAGGGATTTTTCCAGCAAAATCCCATTTAAGATGACTTCCCAGTAATGACAGAAACCAAACTTCCTGGATAGTCTATATAAGGGTGAAATGTGGGTGGGAGAAGCACCAGGGAGCTTTGTCCTGCATCAGACTTCTGTTGTTCACCAGGAAGATGTCAGAAAATCTTTTCTCTCAGGAGCTGTGAGCTCGACTGGAATCTCTGTAGCTCACAGAGCTTGTGTGTCCTCTTGGTTTGCTAGTCTCATGAAGCAGAGGTCCTGAAGCAGCTGGCTGAGAAGAGGGAGCATGAAAAAGAGGTGCTGCAAAAAGCCATTGAGGAGAACAACAACTTCAGCAAAATGGCAGAGGAGAAGCTGACCCACAAAATGGAAGCTAACAAGGAAAACCGTGAGGCACAAATGGCTGCCAAACTGGAACGTTTGAGGGAGAAGGTGGGTGTGGAGACCCCTGTGGGAGAGGGTCAATCCATGCTCCTGACTTGGGGAACTGGCTAAATAAAGCCAATGAGCTGCCAGGTGAGGGGGTTGCTGTGAATAGATGGGACATCCATGGGAGGTCTGTGGTGGTCTAGCTGGGAATGAGAGGAACAGAATAAATTACCTTGGTTGGAAAAGAGGTTCAAGATCATTGAGTCCAAATGTTGACCTAAGACTGACAAGTCCTTAACTAAACCATATCCCTCAGTACTGTGTCTGTAGGCTCTTTAATCCCTCCAGGGATGGTGACTTCACCAGTGCCCTGGGCAGTCTGTTCCAGAGCCTGACATCTCTTGGGGAAGAAGTTCTTCCCAACATCCAGTCTAAACCTTCCCTGGCACATCCTGAGGCCATCACCTCTTGTCCTGTCACTTGTAACTTCATTGAACAGACCAATCCCCACCTTTTTACAGCCTCTCAGGCAGTTGCAGATCCAGGTCTCCCCTCAGCCTCCCTTTTCCCCAGGCTGGACACCCTCAGCTCCCTCAGCCACTCTCCTGTGGCAGAGGGGATAGATCCAGCCAGAGCAGCACTTTGCTTCAAACCTTCATCCTGTAGCCCCCACCAGTAACCCAGACCCCCCAGTTCCTGCTGGGAGCTGGGGGTGGAAGCAAGCCAGGGCTTGCTGTGCTGGCTGGAGCCTGCAGCTGTGCCCAGGCAGCTCAGCCTTCCCTGCTGTTCTCTTTCAGGACAAGCATATTGAAGAGGTTCGAAAGAACAAAGAAGGCAAAGACCCCGGTGAGGCTGAAACCGACTGACTTCATTCTGGAAACTGATGCTCTCCCCCTCCTCTAAATATCCAAAGACTGTACTGGCCACTTGTTTTATCTTTGGGTTTTGTTTTGTTTTGGGTTTTTTTTGTTTGTTTGAGTTTTTTTTAAGTTTCTAGAAACTGATGTAGAACTGTAAAATTAGATCCAAACTGTACACTTTTCTTTGGGGGCTAGAGGGGAGAACCTTACGTGTTTCACTTTTCTAAAGTGTTGTCTTTCCAGTGTAGCTATCTTCTTGTTGCATCCTTTTCTACTCCAGTGCTCTTGCTGCTGGGTTGGTATCAGCTCTGTAAGACGTTTGTGAAAAGGAATCTGTAGTTACATCCTGTTCCATGCTGAATATGTTACACTTAAAAAATAATCTGACTCTTGTCCCGATCTGCTAAAATACTGCTGTAACTGAGTGACTAAATAAAGCTGCACAGTGCTGTTATCATGAGAATTCCTTCTGAAAGTGACCTGAGGAACAGAGTGCCTTGGCTGAGGCCTGCAGGAGGCAGCCAGTGGCGGGTGGAAAGGGCTGCAGCAGCACTTTTCCTGCCATCCCTGCTGCACCAACTGCCTTTCCCCTCCAGCACACCCATTGTCTTAATTGAACAATTGGAGCTTTGTCTTGACACCTCAGCAGTGATCAGCTGTTGTGTTTTTGGTAAAAGGAGTTCAGAACCACCTCCCTTTGGATGCTGACACTCCAACAAACGAGTCCTTGTTACCACATGACTGATCTGATTATTTTTTTTTTGGTAAGGGTTTCTAGAAGATGACTTGTGCTGTTGAATGGGGACTTGTGTGCTGCTTCCTGCAGTGTCTGAGCATAAAAGTCAGAAACCTGTGCTGTGCTGGGAAAAGTGCTGGTTTGGATCAGAATTGTGTTTTCCTGTCTGCTGCAGGTGTGCTGGGATAGCACATGGTGCTGCTGAACATCATCTGCTCACAAGGAGATGTGTATCATGTATCACCCTTGGGTTTTCCAGGGTGTGTGAAAGGGATGTGATGGACGTGACTACTTGTGCTCTGAGGATAGATGCTTTCTAGGTGGCTTTGGTACAGAGTTGCTGGACTTTGTGTGCCTTAAAAACCAGCCCAAACCCTTCCTCTGGATTCATCCACAGGTAACTGATGCTGCTCTGCAGTAAAAACAAGGTTGCAGTTGCTGTGTGTGTGCAACAGCCACCTGACTTCATCATAGACACCACGTTCTGAGCTGCTTGGCTTTGGGAGGTGCATCTTGGAGTAGGAAGCCTTGAGCTTTCACAGCCCCTGTTAGTGTCAGGCACTTGGACCTGTCTTAACCTCAGTTGTGTCCTGGATCTTGATGCTTGGTTTCAGGTTAATCCCTCCCTGGAGCATCTGGTTCTACCCAGATTTACATGTTCTGAGTGTGGAAAAGCTAATAGAATTTTCTAAGGGGCTAAATGAGTTCTGGACCACTTGACCTTCTGGGGGTCTTGCTAAAGAAGGAACTTCAGTTTAGAAAGTGTTCATGTCTATCACACTTGCTCCCTCTGATTGCATCAGAGTTGTACTTAACCAAGCTGATGTTATGCTGACCAAAAGAAGAGATAAAGTCAGGCTTGATGTGCAGGAAGGCTGGGATCAGATCCTTCCCTGGAGGATTTTTGGAAGTGTTTTTGATTCTTCATAACCCAAGGTAAGAGACTGTACTTGTAGCTGTTGGGGAGCAACCAGCTGCCTTTGGGGGGGACATGGGACAGATTTCGGGGTTTTCATGGCAGATATCAACAGTAGTGTGAGCTGAGAGCATAGATTACATTGTGGAGGTTTAAGTAATCATTGGATCAGGTGTAATTAGCATTAAAAAAACCAGCTTCATTTTCATCTATTTCTCTACCTGTTGAGAAAAGGCCAAATGTCCCAAATCTGGTGTGTGTGGGTTTTCCTCCTATCTTTTCAAGGGTGGGGGAGGGAGGATGACAGCACTGCCAATCCCCAAATGGTGGCGAGAGCACAAAGAGCTGTTTGAACGGGAGGTTTTTGACTTGCCAGAGCTGTCAGATCTCAGCTCGGAGCCTTCTGTTCCCTTATCTGAGTTCTGCTTGACGTGGCTGCCTGCGTTCGTACCCGGGCTCAGCTTCAGTCTAGTTCCTCTGAGAGCCTCTGGGTGGGGAAATGGAAGTTTTGAGGGGTGGGGATGAAATGGGGGATGCAAATAGCGGGAGGATGGTGATGAGCTGAGTCAAGGGGGGGAGCTGTAGCACAGAGATGGTGCTCGGGCAGGAAATGGGGGAAAAAACCGAATGAAATAAAATAATAACTCGCCTTTCTGGTGGGGGAAGCCGGCCTAGGAACAGGTTGCTTTAAAAAATAATGAAATAAATAAGAGCTCCACCAGCGTGTTTGCTGGGCTGGCCAGCCCGCCCTGCGGCTGCGGGTTAGAAAAGCAACTGCAACCCCGGGTAGGGGTGTGGTGAGGGG